AGTCCCAAGGTAAGCTTTCATCTTTTTCTGATTATGAACCAGTACCCCCATTTCCTCAAGCTCTTTTAGAACCAATAAGAGGAAACTCTAATAATGATTTATATGAGACCTTTCGTGAATGTGAGAGCAATAAACCATTTTTAGATTCTATGAAAAAGGTACCTCGCTATGCAAATTTTCTAAAAGAGTTATGCACTTTGAAAAATAAACAAAATAAAGGAGTTGAGGAAGTGAAAGTGCATGAGAATGTCTCTATGGCTAGTCAAAGCAATCTTCCTGAAAAGTGCAAAGACCCAGGTATGTTTACTATTCCATGCATGATAAGTGGGGTGAAATTTGAAAATGCTATGTTAGATTTAGGAGCTTCTATTAATGTGATGCCATATTCTGTTTATAAATCGTTAAATCTTGGACCCCTGAGTAAATCTACTATACTAATTCAATTGGCTGATGGATCTACTACATATCCTAGGGGTGGGGTTGAGGAAACTCTAATAATGATTTATATGAGACCTTTCGTGGATGTGAGAGCAATAAACCATTTTTAGATTCTATGAAAAAGGTACCTCGCTATGCAAATTTTCTAAAAGAGTTATGCACTTTGAAAAATAAACAAAATAAAGGAGTTGAGGAAGTGAAAGTGCATGAGAATGTCTCTATGGCTAGTCAAAGCAATCTTCCTGAAAAGTGCAAAGACCCAGGTATGTTTACTATTCCATGCATGATAAGTGGGGTGAAATTTGAAAATGCTATGTTAGATTTAGGAGCTTCTATTAATGTGATACCATATTCTGTTTATAAATCGTTAAATCTTGGACTCTTGAGTAAATCTACTATACTAATTCAATTGGCTGATGGATCTACTACATATCCTAGGGGTGGGGTTGAGGATTTGCTTGTTGAAGTTAATAATTTGGTTTTTCCTGCTGATTTTTATGTGCTTGATATGGAAAATAATAATAAAATTTATCATATTTTGTTAGGAAGGCCATTCTTAAAAACTGCAAAAACAAAAATTGATATTCATAGTGGTATGCTTACTATGGAGTCTAATGGTAAACTTGTGACTTTTAATATTTATAATACCATGAAATCTCCTAGTGATGATAATTTTGCAATTTTTGTTGATTCTTTGAAGTTTGTTACATTTGATGAAATTGCTTCGAATGAAAAAGAAAGAAATAATAAATCATCTTTGAGTACTAATCTGCATAAAGGGACTATTTCTTTGAATACTCATAATCATCGAAGGTACTCAAAAAGACGATGAAAATTTAAAGAAATATCATAAGTCGAGCCAACGACGATAAACAAAGGCGCTGCTTGGGAGGCAACCTAAGGTGTGTTTGTTCCATTTTTTTTTTCTTTTATTCCATATTCTCATTCAATAACCCTTTTTCTGTGCTTTTTTATTCAACATTGGGGACAATGTTGATAATAAGTGTGGGGGAGGGAATTTAGTTTTATTATTTGTTTGCATATGTCAAAATTTTCAAAAATTTTCACAAATATTTTACTAGTATTTTATGCAAAATAAGTATTATTTTGAAAAAAAAAATTATATTTTCCTTTCCTGAAATTCATAATGGAATTGAATAAATAGTTTGGCAAAATGTGATTAGTTTGTTAGCATTTCTTGTTTGATATGTAGTGGCTATATTAAGTAAGCAATAAACATGTGAGTGTTTTGAGCCATTGACTGACACTTCGGTCTTATTTTCTTTCTATTGTGCGATTTCTTCCATAATTTTGTTTCTCTAGAACTTGCCTTGATTCTCTTTTGAAGCTAATTAGACCATGCATGATTCAAGTGTGATTAAGGCCATTATTTGATCTTGAGCCTCACTAGCCAAATAACCGGTTTGTCCTATGATTTATTTCCCCTTGTTAACCACTTTGAGCTTTATGGCCATTCTTTTCTTTATTTTGAACCACAAGCCCTTTATATCTAAAAATAATGTCTTGACCCAGCTGAATAACTAGTGGAGCAAATTTTGAATTATTCATGTAATCTGCGTGAGGTTGCGAGGAAGAAGTGTGGGGGATGTCACTTTCTTGTGTTAATATGATTGAGAATGAGGTGGGTTGTATCTTCATTGCCGATTTGTCACTGGTCTTCTATGAAAAAGAAAATGAAGACAATTCATGATTCCAAAAAAATATGGAAATTGAAAAAATGAAGAAATTGGAGAAATGATGAATGTATGTTGAGAAAAAAAAATGTTGCTGAAATTTATGAGAAAAATGAGAAAGAATCAGCAATTAGTTTTGAGTTGAAGCCACTCCTAAATAAATGAAGCAAGGGGAAGTTCTTGTAATTTTGAGGAAGAATTCTATATTTCTGAGAATGATAATTGGGTTGAAATGTCAATAGGAAATGCTTTGAATGAAAAACTGAGGGTGTTGAGCAAGGGTGTTAGATTCTTTGTATTTAATTGCTCCTCTAGTTTGAAGGCTTTGTTTAAACTACTTTCCTAAAATATTCTCTACCCTAACCCTAGCCCCATTACAACCTGTGAAAAGTCCTTATGATTTGTGTCATGCATGACTTTTATAGTGGTGATTGAGAAGATATGCAAGCCTATGGTAGAGCAATTTTATAGGAATGAACTTGAGTGAAATTAATACCCATCAAACACTTGAGTGATGAGTGATATTCCTGTGAGGGCTTACTTATTTAGTTTTCTCAATTTTCAGACAGGGTTGTTATCTTATTAATTGCAGGATGCTTCAGATTGTTGTTCATGATATGTTATGAGTTTTGGGGATTTTATTTATTTACTTCGCAAATAATATTTTTGCTTGGGGACAAGCAAATGTTTTAGTGTGGGGGAATTTGATATGCATATTTTACACTCATATTTTAGGTACATCTTTATAATAATTTTGCATTAATTATTTAATATTATCTAATAATTAGTTCTTTTTATATATAACATATAATATATAATACATAATATATAATATATAATATTTAATATATATAATATTTAATATATAAGAATACATACTAATGTATTACGTATTAGTATATATGTTTATGCATTATATATATATATATATATATATATATATATATATATTATTTAAATAAATTTAGAAGTCGAAATAAAACTTATCATACATGCAAACCAATTGAAATTGACTATTTCCCTTCATTATGCACGTGCGGAGAATTATTCATCAACCAAATTTTGCGCGAGAGTATTGGGGAAGACTATTACATGAGGCACAAAAATAGGAGGATAAGTGGTAGAGGTTCATTAGGTTTAATTTAGAAAGTGTATAAATAGTATAAGTGTTTTATTGTAAAACGTTCATTCTTCCCCTCTCGATTATTCTGTAAAGCTGTTATCAATGTCCATTCATTGCTAATTTCTTTAGCTTGGTTTAGTGAATTGAAGCCCCGGAATTGATTATGCTGTAAGATTATTCATTCATTTTTATTATATAATTTTTATGCATTTGGGTATTAAATATTCTTTTAAGTTATTTGAATAGTTGTATCATTTAATTGCTAGGGATGCCTACTAGTTATTTACTTGATATAATTATTTGCTATATTAGATAATGTTGTGCTACAAATTATTCTAATATTCAGTAGCAACTGGGTTAATTATTGACGGCTTAGTGATAATTGGACTAGGGTAGAATATTTTCCTAAATTAAATGCAACCGCTTGTGCTTGTGTTATTTAGTTTGTCGGTTTTCCTAGTTCCTATTGCTGCTATTAAATTAAATCTATAGCGCTTGTCTTAGGTTATTTAGTAGTTAGGGGTAATTAAACCGCGTGTGCTTTAGTTACCTACAACTAAGGGAAAATGGAAATGAAATAATTTCACGACAAATATTCAATTGCATATTAATTGCTTTATTAATCAATGATCAGTGTTGAATTCCGGTGGTGGATCTTTACTAACCAAGGTTTCTTATTATAAGTGTTTTCGATATATTATTTTCATTGCTTTATTCGTTCAGTTAAATTACTTGTTTATTTAAATTCTCTTTTAATTTATCTTTATTCTCGATATATTCCAAACCCCCCTTCCTTTAATTTGAGCACATATTTTAAACTAGTTACTCCTCGTGGGATCGATCCTTACTCCCGCTACTACGTTTGTAAGGTTTTAATTTGGAGCCTACGACAGCTCGTCACTAATTATCTTTCTTGCATGCTTTCCAAATTATTTATATTAGAAGTAGATTATGAAATTATATATTTTGTTCCTTATACAAGTGTGTATGACCAAACTCAAACCCTATTCATATAATTAAGCAGGCCAGGGTTTGGCCATCCCTTAATTCTTTAGTCTTAATTTAATGAAATCTTTTGAATTATTTTCAAGCCTTAAATTATGTATTTTTTCCCCTTAAACAAGTGTGTATGACCAAACCCAAACTCTATTCCTATAGGGTTTCGCCACCCCTTTATTCTTCAACTAGTCTTGATTTAATGAAATTCCTTTGAATTATTTTCTAGCCTTACCTTTATACCTAAAGTATATGCGTTGATCTTTAATTAACTTCTTACATTCTTCTACCTTTAGAATTATTATTTGGAGTACATTCTTCTACCCTTTAGAATTATTATTTGGAGTTCGAACTCGTAATCTTCCTAGGGGTCGTAGCTAGACATGCTGCATTGAAGATTGCTCATTTAATTCTTGAAGGTGCCCGATCGGACTCGAAACTAAAGGAAAATTTTGTGCAACTACAGGTAATTTGCTCTGTACCATTGAATTGAAAATATTTATGGATAATCTTATTTGTTCCATGATGTACTTGGGTGATATCAATGTGTTTTGAACTATATTATTGGATGCAGATCCAATTACCATGTTTGTTTTACATAGAAACAAGCACAGAATGAGAAGATTGAAACACGTATAGTAAAGTACACATCAAAATTGAAAATGAGAGCCGAAGGAAAAGTAATCTACCATTACTAGGGATAGAGAGTGAGTTCAATTCAATTCCATGCATGATGATTTGTTTCTCATTCATTCAGCGCAGTTTTTGGTTCCAAAACCAATTGTCTCCCTCTGCAAATCGAAAAACATGCCCATTTGTCGCTGCTGATGGTTGCCAATAATGGTGAGGGGGCCTTCTGAGGGAATGAAGCCCAAACACACTTGGTTTGACTTAGTGGTCATCAAAATCCCAGATGGCCTCAACTCAACATCAATAACTTCCCCTTCTGACATCCCTGTAAAATGAAATTTTATGGGTGGGACGTGAAAGGTGGTGGTATCAATTCCATCCACGTTATAGCAGATTGTGCCCAACACTCGCATCGGTGGAGATGATGCAACGGGATAGATGGATGCCATTGTTTGGTTGAAAGCTGTGAGTAATGCAGAAAAAGCATTGATGGGTAATTGAGTATAGGTAGTTCCGCTGTCTATAATGGTACCTGTTAGGAATATAGCGGAATAATGCGGAAGCGAAGAATCGAAAATTGAGAATTATAGAAGTTAACTAATAGGAAAAATATATAAATGACAAATAAATGATTAAGAATGGGAATATATATATATATATGCTACGTAAAGAAAGAATAGGATAAGACGAATTCAAATTGATGTAATAATGAGGTACATTGAAAGAATAGAAAAGTCTACTATTTATACATTGTAAATTAGAGAATTATGCGGCATGCACAAGGAGGAGAGTAATTTTAGGTGAAGAAATGCTTGGATGGTGGGACACGTGCAGCACGGTCAAGATGAAGACAAAACGTGGTCTGTTGGAAGCTGATAAATTTGAGCCACAAAAATATTATTTTCTAACAATCTCCACCTTGGATCAAATTCATTGTAGAATTAACAACTGGAACAGTCGACTAAACTCAAGCACTGCTTGAACTTAGCAATAGGAAAAGCCTCAAAATAGTAGGATCGATCACCATCAACCTCCTATGCGACTGAAAGAGCATAAGCAACCATGTTGGTTTCATCATCACTAGCATACCTAGCAGGTTTTTTAATTGTCCTCCTAGGACGATCCAAAGCAATGGAATACTCTCGTTGTGGCTCGACAAGAGGTGCGGTGCTAGTAGATGCATCATCTTTAGTATTACAATTAGTGGTAGTAACACTATTAATAGGCCTGAACTCAAACTCCACCTTCTCACCAGTACTCTGCGTCTCACTTGTACTGAGAACTTTTCCAGAAGAAAGTAGTGCATTTTCGTCAAAAGTGATATCTCGACTCAGAATGATTTTCTGAGAATCAGGAGACCATAGACGATACCCTTTTGACTCAGAAGCATAACCAAGGAAAATGCATTTGATAGCTCGAGGGTTTAATTTACCCGTACTGGAATGAGCATAAGCAGGACATCCAAAACCTCTTAAGATAGAGTAGTCAACAGGATTACCTGACCAAACTTCCTCTGGAATTTTGAAATCAAGGGATGAATGTGGAGATATATTTACCAAATAGCAAGCAGTAGAAACGGCCTCGGCCCAAAAATCACGCTGTTTCCATAACCCAGCATTAGTGAGCATACAACGTGCTCTTTCCAATAGAGTCCTGTTCAAACGTTCGGCAACACCATTTTGTTGAGGTTTACCAGGCAAGGTCTTGTGCCTGGAGATCCCATTTGCCGCACAAAAGTCATTGAAATCTGACTCACAGAACTCCAAGTCATTGTCTGTCCTGAGCTTCTTGACTTTTTTACCTCTCTGAGTCTCAACAAGTATTTTCCACTTTTTGAAAATAGAAAATGCCTGATTTTTATGTTTCAGGAAATAGACCTAGACTTTACGAGAAAAGTCATCAATAATAGACATAAAATATCTACAACCTCCCATAGACTGGAATTTAGTTGGTCCCCATAAATCGGAATGTATGTATTCCAATACATCTTTGGTACGGTGTGTAGCAGTAGAGAAACTAACCCTCTTTTGTCTCCCAAAAACACAATGCTCACAAAATTGTAATTTACCCGTACCTGAACCACCAAGGAGGTCTTCCTTGCTTAGGAGATGCATGCATTTCTCACTCATATGCCCCAGACGCATATGCCATAGTTGAGTGAGATCCGCATCAGACATCGATGATGATACCGCTACTGAACCTGTCACAACACTCGCATCGGTTGAGATGATGCAGCGGGATAGATGGATGCCATTGTTTGGTTGAAAGCTGTGAGTAATGCAGAAAAAGCATTGATGGATAATTGAGTATAGGTAGTTCCACTGTCTATAATGGTACCTGTTAGGAATATAGCGGAATAATGCGGAAGCGAAGAATCGAAAATTGAGAATTATAGAAGTTAAATAATATGAAAAATATATAAATGACAAATAAATTATTAAGAATGAGAAAATATAAATATATATATATATATATATATATATATATATATATTAATCTCTAAAAAGAGAATATAAATGAAGAAATATATATATATGCTACGTAAAGAAAGAATAGGATAAGATGAATTCAAATTGATGTTATAATGAGGTACATTGAAAGAATAGAAAAGCCTGCTATTTATACATTCTAAATTAGAAGGGTGGATGACTTGCTTCCTGAGCTTAGCAGGAAGATATGTTCTGGTCCAGTCCGTCCTTAATGCCATTCCATCTTACGCCATGCAAACCATGTTGATCCCGAAAGGGGTATGTGATGAAATTGACAAAACTACGAGGCAATTCCGTTGGGGTGGAGATGGCACAAAGAGGAAAACGAGCCTCGTTAACTGGGAGACGGTCACTCGGTCAAAAAAGGAGGGCGGCCTTGGAGTAAAAAATATGAGGAACATGAATTTAGCTCGTATGGCTAAACTTGGTTGGCGGGTCACAAAGGAAAAAGACAGTACGTGGGCTCGTGTCATTGCATGCAAGTACATGAAAGCTGGTAACAACATTGCTAATATGAAGCGCAAAAGGTGCGATTCCAACATATGGAAGGGAATTTGTGTCGCTGCACCTGTTCTTGAAAACGGAGTCAGAATGGTGGTAAAGAATGGAAGAAACACTAGCTTCTGGAAGGATAAGTGGATTGGAGAAGAGCCTCTACGGAATTATCTGATAGGGCCTTTACATGAAAGAGATGAAAATATGACAGTTGCCGAGGCCTGGGAAGAAAGGGGAACGTGGGACTCGAACCGCATTGATACTGGTCACCACCCAAAGAAACGTAGCGAGATTGCGGCACGAGTTATCCTCTACGACGATTCAAGGCACGATATTATAGGATGGGGACCTAAGGACAATAACTCCTTCTCGACCAAGTCTGCATATGACCTGATGAGACAAGAGAATAACAGAGCCAATAAAGAAGATTGGAGCGCGATCTGGAAGCTCAGGATTCCAAACAAAGTCTGATCTTTCATATGGCTCGTAAGACATGGACGAATTATGTGCAATGCGGAGAGAAGGAAAAGAGGTTTTACAGCTGAAGAACGTTGCAGTAGTTGCAGCGCAGAGAGCGAGGATGTGGACCATACTATCCGAAGTTGTCCGGCAGTGAAGGAAGTCTGGAGGAGGATTTGTCCGACGGAGAATTCAGGTATGTTTTTCTCAATGAGCTTTAACCAATAATTGACAAAAAATTTGGCAAGGACTGGGGGAGGCCAACTGAGAAAGCGGAGGTGTGCCAGATTCGCCATCACAGCCTGGTGGATCTGGAAGTGGAGAAACAACCAGGTTTTCAATGGAACCGGGAAACACATTGATGATAAGATCGATTGGCTACACAATCAGTTCAAAGAAACCGAAGCTGTGTTGGAAAGAAACTCAGCAATCGGAGGGGAACAGAGAAGAGAAGGCCGAAGAAAACAACCTTGGAAACCTCCGAATGCAGGTTGGATCAAAATAAACACCAACGGGTGCATTCAAGCAAATGGTCATGCAGCATGCGGAGGAGTCCTAAAGAATGAAGATGCTGATTTTCTAGGAGCTTTCATAAAAAAGATTGGAACGTGTTGTGCTCTGGAAGCAGAGGTGTGGGGCATTCATTATGGGATCGAGAAGGCGTGGGAGATGGGATATCGACGGGTCCTGATCGAGACTGATTGTCTAAAAGCAACATCGCTGATTAACGATGTAATGGAATATGAGGGTCCGGCCAGGAACCTTGTTGAGATGTGTCGAGATGCAATAGGAAGAGATTGGGACCTTTGTTTCACTTATGCTCCAAGAGAACAAAACAAAGTAGCTGATGCCATGGCCAAGTTTGCAAGCAACCAAGAGGAGGATCTCAACTGGTTTGCAACTCCACCAATTGAGATCCAGAGACAAATTCGAGAGGATGAGCTTGGTCTCCTTGATGAGATGAATATTGTGAGGATCGCTTTAACGATCTTGGGTATTCCCCTCCTTTGTTTCAAAAAAAAAATTAGAGAATTATGCGGCATGCACAAGGAGGAGAGTAATTTTAGGTGAAGAAATGCTTGGATGGTGGGACACGTGCAGCACGATCAAGATGAAGACAAAACGTGGTCTGTTGGAAGCTGATAAATTTGAGCCACAAAAATATTATTTTCTAACAGTACCTGATTGATTGCTCAAATCTGAAGCATCAATATCCAACTTTTTCCCGGCAACACTGACTCCCTTAAGCTCTACAGAATAGAATGTTTCCCCAGTGAGAAATCTGGCGAATTTTGGATGGGAGGAGGAAGACATTTTGGCTGCTTCACTCCCAAACATGCCATTGCTATCTTTTCAAATCTCAATGCTAAACCTGCATGATCCATAAAAATTTCAATATATATTATATATAACGAAAATAGGGTCAGGATTTATAATTTTAATTTACAAAAATAATCCCAATCGCAAACTAGTATAAAATTACCAGGTTCGAATTTATTTATACAAAATATATAAATACTAAAAAGAGAGTTTTATAATTTAGAACATAAACCCAACGACAAGAAAACAAGCTAGGAAAAAGAAGGAGAAATCCAAGTTGCATGCTCAGGTGCGAACTAAGCTTCCTATGGTGACTCTCATTTGAACCCAATCTATCCTAGGAAATGCATGCTCTGAAAAAGCTAAGGTTAAACACAATACAATATAATCATATATAAGCTCAAGTTTAGGAATCTTGATGCACCTAGATTAATTTCTAAAGTTGAGTTACAGAATGGATCAGACACTATTGTGTGTCCGTATGTGTGGTATAGTACATCACCTTCTTTGTTTGGTTCGCAGGAAGGCTTTGGCTTCAGTGAATCCAAATTAACAACATGGTAATACTGCTTTGAATAAGGAGGAGGAGGAGGTGTTGCTGCTTGGGCAGGAAATGAAGTGGTTAAATAAAAACTAAAAAGCTGCAACAAAAAGAAATATGAACAAAAGACTAAGGGGTTCTTCAA